GCTAAAATTTTCACTGACAGAGGGCACTGCAGTAACAAGAAATATTGAAATCAGAGTTTTACGAATTGCAGGGTTTTACAATAAACTGCTCACCTTCAATTTTTTTTTTCTCCTGCTTGTTTGTACACCTTCAAGTTTTAACTGTGATGCTGACATAATGTGGATAAAGCGTTATTGGTGAAGTTGTTTTATCTCAGCCAAAAATTGCTAACTGAAGCTTTACAAAGATTTCAGGCACAGAAGGGCTGGAAGGAAAGTTCACATCTAATCACTTTTCCCGAACTGACTTTCCTGGCATGGCATTGTTTCAAAGAAATAGGTAGTTTGTGCCATCGCCATTTTAGTGGTGCACTTCGTTCATCAGAGGTCTGTACGTCTGATGTGGCTTGCAGATGGACACTCTAATGGAACAATCAACGAGTGCAGTGGAAAGTAGTGAATGAGAAGTGGCACGAAACACTAGTATACCAAAGACATCAGTATTTGGTATCCTTCACAGTGTTTTAAAATTACCACACAAGTTGTAATCAGTGCACTAGCTCTCATCAAATGACAGAGCTAAGCGATATGAATTTGCAAATTGGGTTCTGTCGAAAATCGATGACAATCTACAATGAATTCTCAACATCTTGTGGACAGATGAAGCTCATTTTTCAACACACAGAACAGCCAACACCCGTAACTGTAGAAAATGGGCAAAGGAGAACCTATATGCTTATACTGAGAAACTACTACATTCACCAGATTTAACTATTTGGTGTGGTTTCAGTGTTCATTATTGTGGGCCCTTTTTCCTTTGAACAGAGATGTGCAAAAGCTGGTTCGAAAACCTGCTCAATTACTGAAAAACACTACCTGCAACTGATATAGAAGAAAACGAATGTGCACTTACTGCAACATAATGTGTCCTTCTCCTCAAACCACAACCAAAATGAATCTTCACTGAAGAAGGATTTATTAGGTGACACTGTAGAAACAAGTGCCTCCTTTGTTCACCAAGCTTAACATCACTTGATTTTTGGCTTGTCAAATCCAGAGTGTACTGAAGTAGCCCATCTTCTTTGGCATACATTAGACTATGCTACATGCTGCAGTTAATGGTGTTGTAACTCACTTGCAAAGTGTTAATTAGCGGTGATGTTGGACACATAGAATAAGAGTGATATGCTTATGAACCTGCATCCAAATAAATACAGATTCCCATAGAAATGTGAGATTTGTTCCCATATAGTAAAAAAAGCAAAAAATGTTGATTATTTCTTTTCTTTAAAAAAAAAAAAAAAAAAACCCTTCACGAAAACAACTTTTTTTACAAGCCATGTTCAGTTCTACCAATTCCTTCAATTTCCATGAATTTTTAAAATATTTACAGATTTATGGGAGACACTGGATACCAGACACTCATCTTGTTACCCAGTTTTTATTTTTACAGTCATCAATATCAATCAAGGCAATAACATGGGTGATCTTCAACAGTGAACAAAAATCAAATTAAAGCATGAACAGAGTGGAACCTAAGATAAGAGGAATAGCACAGATACTGAATATTGCTGTATACATGATTAACACAATTTAGTGAAAGCCAGACATATCTACTGTTATAATACTTGAATTTCACATGAACTGTCAAACAGTTGACTTATTTACTCCACGGCAATATCCTTCCAAAGCTTGACAAAATGAAGCATTTTTCTAAACAAATAACTGTGGTGAAAAGCAGGGTTGGATTTATTAAGGGGAAAGGAAACTGGGAGAACAGGGAACAAAATGGAAGAACTTAACATCAGCACATCTGTAGGGCTGGTAAAAGAGATAAATTTACTAATAACAATTTAACTAATTTGAAAATATTTTATTACTTTTGCAACAAAATCAAAAATAATTAAATAATTTTTGTAAAAGCTGAACAGATTGACACTGTTTAAATTGATTACATATATAGTCAGGTTACACATGAATAAAATATAAACATAATACAGTACAAAGTTCGAAATCTTGACCTCTAAACTGTCAGCTAAAAAAATAAAACAAAAAAAATCCTCCCTTACAAAGTCTAAAAATGTAAAATATAATAACAAAAAAAAAAAAAAAAAAAAAAAAAAAAAGGAGGCAGGTGTGACATAAATGTAAATTTTCTCCCAACTGAGACTCCCGCATGTCATTTGCAAACTGCTGGCTAGGGAGTTGTATCATGGCTAATAACAATGCACTGACTGATTTTGGCCAGAATCACACTTTGGCCCTTGAGTGGTTGCCAAGAAAAGGGGCAGGACTGGAACTTTATATTTTGCAGTGCAGTGCAATCTCTTCGTGTCTTAAAAACCACTGCTTGTTATCTTCCAAAATTCTAAAAAAATTTATCCCTCTAAGTTCTACTGCCCAATGCCTTAAATTAGAAAAAAAAAAAAAAAAAAAAAAAAAATTCTGCCATCCCTGATTTTAACTGCTTGGTTCTCCTCTAAATTTTAATATTTTTGCCACCCATAAATTCTGACAATTGATGTGTCTGCACTAGTTGTAACCAGGGCTGTGGAGTTGGAATCGGAATCGGGTAGATTTTGGGGTAAAAGGAGTCGGAGCTGGAGTCACTAAAAACAAGTCGACTCCGACTCCAGTTTTCGTTAGACAGTTTGAATTTGAAATGAAATTAAAATGAATTGAAAAAAAATTAATGACAAGCTGAGTTAATATTTTTATTTATGGACTGTACACATTAATAAATAGTTATTTTCTATTTTATTCACCTATTAATAAATAAATATAAGTGAGGAAGATGGATGTGATATTTCCCATTAGTGACTAGACTGATTCATTTAGTTACATCATTTAATTAAGGTAATTAATTAAGATTTAATTAAGATATTGTTCTTTGATTTCTAAATTTACTACATTTAGTTAAAAATCTCACTGGTAAATTTAGGTAAGCAGCAATAGCTCCTAAAATTGATGCCATTCTTAGGAAGCGAGCAGGAAAAGGGGCAATTATTGATTAAGCAATGCGATAAGGAAGTGCATATTTCATGATAAAGAGGTTTTTGGAATTAAGAACTTTTTTAGTAGATAACCGTAATGTTTCACTAACAGAAAGACTGTGGAATAATCTTGCAGAATTGGAAACCCTTCTTTCTATACCGTATATAGCCACAAAAAAGCTGCAATCTGAAGAATTGACAGGAGGCAAGAATGGGATGTTCGTTCTTTCTGAAATTGAGGGTTTATTGTAGAACAAATCATTACTTCAATGAAGAAAAGAGAAACTAGTTTGCTAGGCAATGAGATCTTGCTGGGTTCAATATATGGAGATCCGAAACACAATTTTTTTGGATGATGAATAAATTAAAAAGGCAAAGAAAGTCATCTATGAACTTGCATTAAGAATGAAGTTATTCTCAGAACAATTGGAGAATTTGAATCAGGACAGTCAAACTGCAGACATTGCAATTGAGTCTCTATCATCCTTTTCCATTGAAGAATTAAGATTTTGAGAAATATTATTGGATAATATTGAAAAGAATAAGGCAAAGTGAATAAAAATAAGAAACGAGCCTTTAAATATAAAAATGAAAAAATACAAACAAGTTTCCTACGCGGCCTTTAAAGAAATAGAGAAATATGATTGTGCTTGCAAGACACCTCTTTTAGAACTTATCAAAATCTATCCTGAAAAGTTAAAAGAAGTAGCCCTAACAGTAACAGCTCTTCCTTCTGCTCAAGTTAGTGTGGAAAGACTCTTTTCAGCTCTGAAGTTTATCAAACTGGATCTATGGCCCTCCAACAGAGAAAATCTTGCCGAAGCTATACAAGTTCTTAGAAATTACTAATGCCAGTTTTTCCATTTCATAATAAATGCTAATTAATATAAATAATTTGTTATGTCATCAACTTTTTTGTAGCATCTATTCTTTTATATTAAAAAATAAGCTGTAACCCATGGGTATATGTTTACATATATATATGAGGAGTCGGTGTCGTTTAAAATTCCAGGAGTCAGAGTCAGTCATTTTCCCTACAGATTCCATAGCCCTGGCTGTAACTGCTATGTCGTTGGCCCTGTAGGAGGTTTGCATTTTTCTATCTGACATAAACAATACATGAAGCCCAAATGCTGCTGTGTCTACACCTCATCTAACTAGATTTAAACTAATGATTTAAAATTGGGAATTACTGAAATCCTGATGACCTTGGACTGTAATATTAATATAAAATAAGTAAAAGTCAGTTTTTTCTGGCCTGCTGAGAATGCACCACTTCCAAAACCTTACTGACGCTATTTGCAATACACTAAAACCTTGAATGGTAAAAAGAATATCATTCATGAAATTTCACATGAATTGTATAGTGCAGTTGACATTATGCCACTATGAGCAATTGCTGTTAACTGAACGTAAGTTCTTTCAAATCTATTTTTTTAATATCTCTTTTGCTGCACCAAGACAAGAAAACCAATATCAGCAACAGCTTCAAACAAACATCTTGGAGCTTCATTTATTATTTTAGGTCAGAAAAACATTAACCCCACACAACCACTCAAAAGCAGGAAGCATCATTGTGCCTAATGTCAGTGTATTGTTATCAGCCATGGTATGGCTCCCTAGAAATAGGTATTTGAAGCAGGTGTGATTTCTGCTTCAAATACCAAGCAGGTGAGATTTCTGCTTCAAATGCGCTTTTTGAATGTGAAAACATTCAGAAACAGTTTGTCAGAAGAAAAATTGTTTTGGCACATGTGCTTATTTAGTTATTTATTTTTTAATTATATTCTCCATTCCTTAATTTCATTTAGAAAAACTCCAGAAGGGTTGATGGTTATATACAAGATCACTTTGGATATTGAAAGTCTGAAGTTCGGATATTGTACTGCAATGATTAAAGAGACAAATTTAAAGGAAAATAAAAAATTTCAATCTTTAAGCTTTTAATTGCTATCTGATTTATGGAATCTGTATATATTCATTTAGTTACATCATAAATAAATAGTCAATAAAAGAAAATAAACTTACAATTTTTGCTTTATCACATTCACCATTTGGTGTTTTTTTTTGGTTTATAAATCTTGCAATACCTACATTAATAGTAATAAAAAGATTAGCATACATCAAATTAATAAAAAAATATTCTAAATTTTATAGATGTGTTTATTAATAAACTAGCATAAATTAATAAGAATTAAGGCATGCTGCTTAAAATATTACTGATTTTATGCTCTGCTCCTAAACCCCTAATGCTAGGACTAATGGTGTATACACTGAAGAGCCAAAATATTATGATCACCTACTCAATAATGCATTGTGCAACTTTTGGCCCACAAAACAGCTGCAAGTCACCTTGGCCTTGATGCCACAAATTCTTGGTAGACGACTGGGGACAGATTCCATCAAATGTCTAAGCAGCAGTCAAGTAAAATCAAGATATTCCGACATGATGGTATTTGAGCTCTGAGCTGTCGCTCCATGACATCCCAAATGTCCTCTATCAGGTTAAGATCTGGCGAGTTAGGTGGCCAGGACTGGAACTCATCCTTATGCTCCTTGAACAACAATATTCGAGCCTTGTAACATGGCAAGTTGTTCTGCTGGAAGATTCCATTTCCAGTTGAGAAGACAGACGCCATGTGAGAGTGCAATTGATCCACAATGATATTCAGATATAGTCTGCAGCTTTCATGATCTATTATACCAAAACTTCAGGTCCCACAGCCATCCGTGCGAATGTCCCCCAAAGCATAATATCACCACCACCAGTACCTGACCTGCTGTACAGGGAGGAAGCAACTGTTCACCTGAAAGACAGGGTACCCTGACACAACCATCGACATGATGAATGAGAAATCATGATTCATCCAACCAGACAAGTCTTCCAATTATCCAATGTCCGGTCTCAACTTTCCCAGCCCCACTGCAGTTGTCAATGATGCTTAATCAACAAAGACACACAAGGTGGGATATCTGCCGTGCATCCCATATACAACAGTGTCTGATAAAATGCATGTTTCAAAACACTTGGACCTGCATTGTGTTGGGCTGTCAGTTCAGTCACTGTCTGGTAACAATTTCACTGTACCATGTGGGACAGTCTCTAGCATCAGGGTTGCCACTCAAAGAGGAGAATGAAATTCCATGACTTTTCCAGGTATGTTTCGAGAAAATTCCAGTCTATCCGCGTAATGTACGTTGGCTGTGCTAAGAGGTAAATTAATTATGGTATTACTTGTACTGTGTAGCAAATTCACTTAATTATTCAATAAATCCCAGAGGACATTTATTCTTAATTATTCTTGGTACACTTTGTTTGATAATTGTTTACTTTTCCGCTTAAAAAACTTAATAAAATTTAAGATATATACATTGGATAACAACTGTACGTTTTATTTAATTATTACTCATGATCATCCCCAGTTCAACACGAGGCTAATCCGGTTCTTATAAATCACAACGCAATGCTAAAAGTTAGGTTAGATTTTAGGTAAATTTAATTTGTGTGAGGTGTATTCTTAAAAGGCACCTTAACACTTGAAAACACAAATATAATTATAATAGGAGTTGTTTTCTCCACTGAAGATTGAGATTAGAATCTGCCCAATCTGGAATAAAATAAGGCTTTTTTAGCAGACATTCTGCAGCTAAACAAAAGAGAGAAATCTATTTAATGATATTTTTTTATTAAATTGAGGTATTTTATATTTATTTCGCAGCATACATAAGGAAAAAATATGTGCATTAAATTTCGTGATGTCATCATACTGCTAGAGAAAATTTCCTGAAATTTCGAAATATTATTTACTAATGATAAAAAAATTTAGAGGGAAGAAGCAACATTAAATGATATGAATAACATAAAAATAAAGATAATTACTTAAAAATTTAATTAGAATAATCAACGATACTTTAGCGAATATAGTTATATTACATGGTTATCCTAGATGATTGATTACTATTTTTTTATTTTACTGCAAAATGACAAGGTATTTATTAAAAAGAAAAGAAAAGAAGAAAAAAAAAGATTTTGCGGTAAAATCCTAGTAGACGATACGGCCTTCGCATGATTTTGAAAATTGTTGCCAAGAACAAAATGACCCGCTTACTGCTCATCATCATGTCGCCAAATCCCGCTGTACCATACATGGAGATTATTCTGACCAAAGAACGTCTATGTAAAAAGCGGAGGGAAAATTTGCCAAGGGATTTGACAACGGAATGGCCAGAATTTCCCTCTCTGCGATGTGTACAGGAAATTGAGAAACACATGTTAAGAAGAAACATTCTTTGACAAAAGAAAACTACGAAAATCCGTTTTTAAATTATTGAGAAAAATCCAAGAAGAAAAGTTTTATCAAAGAACGTTTTTTCTTGGATTTTTCACAATAATTTTAAAAACGGATTTTCGTAGATTCCCCCCCCAAAATAACTAATCCATGAATTAATTTATTTGCGCCAAAAAATACTTTCTTTTCCTTTAGAGTTTAAAGACATTTTAAACGATATTCATTTTATGAACTCTTGATAATGTGACCTTCGAACTTCGACAGCGGTTTCGAGCTTTGGCGGCAGATCTATTGCGCATGCACGCTGTTTCCCGCTATGATGGAACCGAGCCACGTCTGTTGCAGAGAGGTTTTCCTTCTTTAAAATACATATTTTTTTAATTCTAAAGTTCATGGTACCGTATACTAAACCCATTTTGTTTTATACGAGAACAGGTACTTTCTTTAGTTCATGCTCTGCACATGCGTTTCTCGAGGTTACTGGAAACCAAAAGTTGCGGGAAACTTGCTTTGCCTTTCTAAAAAGACAATCAAATTGGAGCTGTGAAAATTGGCTCTATGCCAGCTGCCCGAATGACACTCACGTGATACACAATTAGCCAAAAAAGTGATCTCTTCCGACGTCGGCGCAAAACTCGCCTTTTTTGGCGGGATCGTTGTATGAAATTCCCTGACTTTTCCAGATTTTGACTAAAACACTTAAATTCCCTGACTTTTCCCTGAATTTTTTTGTCAATTTCCGAATTCCCTGACTTTTTCCGGTTTTCCAGGTAGCGTGGCAACCCTGTAGCATTCTTTTTCTTTGAAGACACGTGGATGTCCAACACCTCGGCATCTACTGCTGGGTTCACTGTCATTTACCTACTTTGCATAAATACTAACAACGGCAGATTGTAAACACACGGTCGTGTGGGTTCGGAGATACTCATTGCAAATCTTAAGTCCATTACAATCTGTTTTCTATCAAATTCACTTAGATCAGCAGTTTTTACCATCTCTCACGAAAGTAAGTACAAGAATGACTCCTTATCTTTTCAGCAGCAGTTAAATGCCATTCCCAATTAATCATCATGTGCCCTCCACGTCATTTAGATGAATTTATTGGAAAATATAGGGTTGGTTATAATGCTTTGGCTCATCAGAACATAAGTGCTAAATATCTGAAATATTAAAAGTTTATATTAAGTTTTGAGGAGTAGAAAGGCTAAAAATATGAAAATTTCTGTACCTGTAATACAAATGCAAACCTTTAAATATAAATAACTTCCTTTAGGATTAAGTAAAACTAATTCTAGAAATGCACGAAATTCTCAAACACTGTTATCCATGAGGCATTAAAATAGCATATTTATTTCACTGACTATGTTTTAGAAGAGAAAGGCTATTATAATAATTATTTTGGAAAAAGAACATAAGTATCATAAAAATGTATAGAAAAAATTCAATATTTAAAAAATCAGGTTTTTTTCAAAATAAAGAAACAGTTGTTCTGCAAAATATGCCAGAAAAATGCATAAGATCCAATGTTTAAAAAAATCAGTTTTTATTTAATAAAGAAGCAGTTGTTCAGCAAAATATCTATCTGCCAGTCCAAATAAAAAATTGTGCATTATTTTACCATTTAAATGATGTGAACATAATAATAATCATGCTTTAAATATTATGATCATTTTTCCAAAGAAAACACAATACGTAGAACTTGTTTCAAACATATTTTCATATTTTACTTCATACTGAAAATAAAAACTTAAAAGAAAATCTCTAATTCTGCATTATTTGACAATGATACAGATAAAACACATATAAAATATGCTAAGAATGTAAAATATACCTCTTCCAGCTCCCCCCAAATGAGAAACTTGAGATGCAGTAACACCTTCGGGAAGACTGTTATTCTGACAATATAAAAATATTAGATGTTAAAACATATTTAAGAAAATACACATAAAATAAATATTCAAGCAACATATTACACAATATCCTACATATCAATTATTTAAAACATATCTTCATTTTTAAAGATATAATTTTAAAAATTATTCACCCTGAAAAAAACTTTTCCCAGTAATGATATGCTATCCATAACACATCTAATTAGCAATATGGCTTCCACTCTAACCATAATATGGACATTCTAATTCCACTCTAACCATAATATGGACATTCTAATAAGCTTAAGTAAGTATTAAAAATTCAAATCTATGAACTATAAATCCTTACTTACATGACAAAAATATTCATTCACCATTAATGTATTTGAGAATAAAAATTTTAGGCATAAAAAATCTCAAACACATCATGCTAAAACTAAGACTCTGATAAAAAAAAATAACAGAAATTACCAATTTCATATAACTTTTCTAGATCCATAAAATTGATAAAAAAAATCAATCTTATAAAGTTACTCATTTATAAAACAATGAAACTTACTTTACTATCTTTTCTTTTGGCATACCCTATTTTGAAATTGTATGGAGGTTTTCCATTCATATTGTTCATAACTTCTTGAGCATCCCTATGTGTTGCATATGCCACAAACCTAATAAAAGATTGTATATATCAAATTAATAATATTAAGTAAAGAAATTTATGTAGCGTATAAGTTGAAATTTACCAAGTTAAAAAAAAATTTAAATGCAAGTTTTATTTACTACAGCATACTTTTAAATGCACGTGTAGATAAAAAATTATGTTAAAAATTTGCTATAAATAAATCAGTTTAGTGATTAAATTAATATTCATATATTTTAATAATTTTGCCCTTTTGTATGTTTTATTATTTATCTACATACGCTGTGATTAATTTTAAGTTTGCAATAAACATTTTCCATAAGCACTTACAAAACTTAATACACGAAAATTTTATTAAGCAAGTTTTGATTAAAATTTCCTATTGTAATGCCTTTCTTAGAAATCTTGAATATTTATATTAATAATGTTTTTAGACTTAACATAATTTTGTTTTGTTAACCAAACCTTGTTCCAAATGAATCACAACATAATGGCAGATTGGAATTATGTAATTAAGGAGTAAGCAACAATTCCTTTCTATCTCAACCTATTAAAACTGATTGACAAAACTGTAAAAGTTAAAGGAAACTGATCGAAAAAATAAAATAATGTAGGCCATATTTTCATCCCCTTCCCAATGGGGTTTTAGAGGATTACCGATAGGTAATCTGCAGTGAAATAACTGAGAAATTAGAAAATATTCTTTGATGCTGTTTCAGAACATTTTGTTTTGTCTAGATTGAACTAAAGTGTAAGGAAATAAATTAGCCCAAATCCACAAATATGATATCAAAAATATGTAGTTGAGATTCAATAGGAAAATACTAAAATTGTAGACAGCACTAGAATTTCTGGATTTTAGCAAATTAAGAATTGACGATTCTCTTCTATTAATAATATGATGGATGTAACGTAGCAGACCTCATTATGGTGCATCCTGGATAATGCTAAATCTGCTACAGCTTTGCCGAGACTGTTTGCAAGACCACCTCTACAGAATTCGAGTGGTGGATTCCCGAAGCTGTATTTTGTGTGACTCCAGAAAGCATATGATTTTTGAACATTTAATTAACTGAATTGTACTTTCTCAGTGTGAGGGTATTGTTAAAAAGTATACAAAAGCCTGTGAACTAATGGTGAACATGCTAATGTTTGGCATTTTTAAAATAAATAAATCTGTTAATATTGTTACGAATTTGGTATTTAAAAAGCTAATGTTAGTTGAATTATAAATTAAATGGTTTTATTTCTCGCGCAGTGCAGCGCGTGATGAATATTAAAAGAAAGCTAAGCCGGAAAAATTGAAAATACAAGAGCGCGTGCATTAAATAAATAAATAAATATCTCTTTTTGATTTCGAGAAAGTACTGGAAAATTCTAGCGCGTGATTTTAAAATCTTATAAAAGGAGGAAAACATCTCAGTTCGTAGTAGTTGCTTAGTTTGTTGTTGTTTAGAAAACTGCTCTTGTTGATTGTAGCGAATTCGCGGATTAGCGTTCTTTAGCTGTTTTGAATTACGTTCTATTGGACATTTGAGTAGTTAAAAGATAACTACTGTGAGATATTGTAATACTGCAGGATAATTTGAGAAAATTTAAGCATTTTTCTTGTGATAATAATAAATTTTTGTTCATTTTTTTATCGGACTTGTGCATTCATTTCAAACGAACTCGTACGCACGCAGCAATATGGTGCAACTGTAATTGTGCAGCAAAGTGGCAGCTTATTGTATTGCATCATGGGTAGCTATGCCGTGATGTCATTAAAAATAGACAAAAAGAATACGCATTTAGTAATTTTCCTTCCTAGATTTTCAAGAAAATGTTATGAGGTTATGGCAAAATCCAGAATGGTGAAATAAACGTCAGGTGGTACAGCCACTACCATCTTGATTCCTGCCTAATCAAATTCAGATAACATCAATTGTATCAGAAGACATATGTTTTCAGCAATATTAAATATACCTGGCAGCTTTATGCTTCCTGTGCAATATAAAATTAAACTGGTAAAATCTATTTAAATTTTTGCATTTGTTTCTGTTTTTGTATAGCTATTTTGGATTTAATATAATAATAATTCTTTTTATGAAGCTGTATCATTAGGGTTGTGCCATCTAGCTAGATTTTGTGCCAACATTTATGTTTGTCATTAAGTTATGCTCCACTAACAGAAAAGAGCTGAACTGACATTGTAAACAGATATAGTATCTAGTCCAAACATGTTTTGTTCTAATACTAGTAAAATGTAGCTCAAATACTAAAGCTTCAGTTCATACTAAAGCTTATTCATTTCTGTTTTTTTATCATTTGATAATTTCATGTTGCAAGAAAATACTAATTCCCATTACCAAAAATTACACTATTTAATTATAAAAATAGTAAATATTTCATAGTACTTACCCATATACATGTGGCAGCTGATTGGCTCCTTGTTTTGGACAATTCAAGTATACTCTTTGAATTTTTTTGCCATTCTGAGACATAATAGTTGCAAAAGCATCCTATAGAAAAACAATGAATTATATATAATATAAATCCTACAAGATACTTTACAACTTTTAATACATGACATTTTATAAAAAATAACATTTGATATCCATAAAAATCACAAAATAGATGCTAATGAATTAAAGGAACTCCTTACTTTATGCAGCTGTTAATTAGCCTTACTCTAGAAGTTAAGGGATAATTGTAGTGATGTGAAAAGTAAAGAATTCCATTTAAGTATAATTGATAATTGGTGACTGAGTGTAATTATTTATGATAATTATACTGTTCCACAGAATACAGGCTGTCTGTCTAAGAGGAGGAAAACACCTACTTATAGTATGCTTTTATTCGTGCGTAAGCAAATAGTTGGCTTGATCTGTGCTTTTTTATGTTTTATTCACATGTGTCCGCCTAAAAGAAGGGATGTCTTCAAGGAAGATTTTCTTAGGAAATAGGCTTGCATTTATATTATGCATGGAAAAAAACATGAAAAATATGCAGAGTTCAGCAGTTTTAACCACTTGGCCACTGGTGAGATCCATATAACTTTTTTAGCTTGATGAATTCCTAAACAGAACTGCATAAACATATTCTAATGCAGCTAGTTTTGTAATAACTGTTATTTTTACATTCTGCAGGCATGAAATAAATCTCAATATTTATGAAATCTACTTTTCAGTTCTTTAGATTAGACAATCAAATCAGTTGTAATTATTCTATCATTTTCTGGAGATATTTGAACACTGTTTTATGTTTTAGCTTTTTTTTTTTTTTTTTTTTTTTTTTTTTTTTTTTTTTTTTTTTTTTTTGTGGTGGTGGTGGTGGTGTTGAAAAATTATGCAATGTTTCTTTTTTTATTTTCTCATGACAGGTATTTAACTTCAAAAGCAAATACTTTGCTTGCCATCTGTGAAGTAATTTCATTTTCACCTATAAATGAGATTACCATAAATGAGATTATTATGTTTTTCTGTGATATCACACAGAAAGGCAACCCTTCATTTTTAATAGCTATATAGTTAATATTTTGCAGGAAAAAAATACTTTCTTGGTGTAAAGAAAAACAGTGTTCCAGAAATTTTCCTCTGCTTGACCATCCCAAACAGGTATGCAAAAGAACATTACTATAATTACTGCTAAATTTTTTCAATAATTTTTTTAATTTTCGATGGTTCAGATTCTCATGAACAGATAAAACTTTCTATATTTGTTGCAGTTTGCTTCATAGTGTCAGCCAGTTTTCCTTGTGAATGATACAGAGAAATGGTAAAAGATCTATACATTTTTTAATACAAAAGTAAACCAGTTTTCAGGTTTTGTCACTGATGGACCATCTTTGCACACACAAACTAATTTCTTCATATCCATGTACAATTATTTTACAGACATGTACTAATAACATCAATATTCATCTCTGGTTTGATTATTTAAAGGGAAAAAAATTATATTAAATTTTATTTACTAGGTGTATTACTTTAACATTACTTATTTACTTTTATTTTATTACTATTGAATTATTTATTTACTAATTATTACTATTTATACTTACTCATTTAATGAAAATGAAACATTGCGATAATGCCCAAATGCTGGCATTACATTCATAATTTTAGTTAAAGCATGCACAACTTTTCAAACTTCCTATGATATGATCTGAAATGTGTTTTATATTTCCAATAGGACTATGATTAAAAGCAATGCCAAATAGTTGCACATTTTTAGAAAGTAATTTCCCCCGTAGATTGAAAGGATGACAGCTGACTTGGTATTTCAGTTATTTGGAAACAAAGATATCAATGGACTTAATTTCTTCCGTAATAAATAGAACAGACACACAGGAATTCAAAATATATATTTAAATTTGACAAATTGGTAAACTTATTAATACATATAGCATTATTCAGTTATCATGCAGAAATCTTAAATTATGACACATATAAAGCATTATTAAATTTCTTAAAATGTTTCAGATGAATTGGAAGAGCCAAGAAAATACAGAATCGAAATTTGGTTTCAACGGTCAAATAAAAGTTTTGCATTTCATACTAAAATTAATAGGAGAAACTAAAACCAATTTGATTATCTATCAAAATAGTTAGCTTCATTATTAGTTTCATTTAAACTTTCACAAATCTATTTGGTGTCATTTATACAGTATAAATCAGAGATGGGAATATATTTTTAACCACAGATAGTGCACTTTTTAGTGCTGTTTGCGAGGATGCAATGGGAGGAAAGGAACACCCTTTCCTGGTAGAATGTTTTTTAATTAAAATTTAAAATAGTGTTTTCTACACACAATTTCATATTTTTTACTCTAAATAAGACCGAGAATACAGTATCACATTGACCTCGCGTGGGGGCCAACAAATGAATTGTTTTAACATCTTACACACACACAAGAAAAAAAAAAAAGGGGGGACAATTTTGTCTCTCAGATTATACTGGGCTGATCGTCGAAATTTAAGTTGCGTTTTCCATGTCTCGAAAGCACGACTTATACATATATTAGGTTTATATACAGCATTATTCTAACATAGGTATTTTGACACAAAATCAGACTTTTTCTGAAATAACATACTAATTTTGTTTTCCATATTTTGATTCTGACTCAAATTATGCTTAGATATTAATTTTGAAATTTTTGATGAGAAATTTATAGAGAAATTTAAAAATTTATCTTGCCGCATTTGTTTTCTGTTTGTGCCGAGAATAATTCCCTTGCCTAACTTCTTAATTTATGGTAGCCTACTTTCTTTTCCCTTTGACTGTGCACGAGCAGGGAAATAAAGATGCATCATTCATACTTTCAAGTAATTTTAACAAAGTGCATAAACCACATTTGGCGTTATTATCGCTCACAAATATATCAAAACGTGCCAATATGTAAATTCCCCTATAACTTAGGAAATTTTGAATAAAAAACTCTAATTTTTTGCAGATATGCTTAGAAATACACCTACTTTAAGATGATAGTAAAAATTCTATAGATTATATTTCAAGCTTTTTTTTTTTCAAAAAAATTATAAAAATTATTTAAAAATAGAAATTTTTAAAATAAAAACAAAAAATGGGTGAATTTTATTTGGAATGAACGTAAATTTCAAAATGTGAAAGGAAGAATCAAATAAGTTTGATGAAAAAAAGATATATTAATAAATATACATTAAATTCAATAACATGGAGGGGCTGAAATTTTGAGAGCTTATTTTCTAAAAACTACTTGTGCGATTTTTACAAAACTTGGCACAATTTGAGACATAGAATCGAAACGAAAAAAAAAAAAAATTGGTATGTTATTTCAGAGAACGTCCGATTTTGTATCAGAATACCTATGTTAGAACAATTGCTATATATAAATTTAATATATATCCTAAGCCATGCTTTCGAGACATGGAAAACGCAAGTTAAATTTCAACAGCAGGGAGATATAGAACTGTCCCCCCTTTTTTGTACAAGGTTTACGAAAGAATGTATATGCAAATTTCACTGATTATGATGATTAATCAAACATTTTTATAAATTTACTGCTTTGAATATTTTCATTTATATTAAAGTACTGTGTTATAAAAATAATTATTAATTAATATATACTTAATGTAAGAGGTGAAATTTTGAATGTTCACTTGCGATTATGTCATCAAAATTAGGTTCCAACTCAGTGGTAGCAATCCCTAGCTAAATGTTCCAATTTAAATGCATTTTAATTAGCCACTTCTCAGCAGCAATTAAATAGGTTTCTCCAGTAGTCATACCTTTCATCAAATGTATGCTAATCAGTTACTAGCTAATTTTGAATATTTTTTCTTTGCTACAAATTTCTCATCAAATGATTAACATGTATACTATTTCATTTTTAAATAAAAATTTATGGATGAAATGTTTTTCCCCAAACCTCCCTTTCCTGAAGTCTTTTTATCTCCACAATATTCATATTTCTTTGCTTAATTTCTAAATTAATGTTTTTAGAAATAACAGAACTACATTCTTCAGCAGATGCACTGCTTTTCATTCTAACATATCTAGCGTTCTCTGTGGTTGAGCATACTAAAACATGCATTTTTTTATAGGAATGTAGGGTCTAACGTGACGGGTTAAGGCAGGGGGGGAGACACGAGAGGAAAATGTATTTATGTACAAAATCAATGCAAAGTGCTTCTTTGTAGCAATACAGTATTAAAAATAAATGTTCAAAATCGCGACCACCAGCAATAATGCATGCTTGGTAATATCGCATCGCAGAAGGGATTGACGAACATTTTGAAAAATGATACAGGCATTTTGCGCATGCTTGCAGCTGCAATGGATAGTTGTGCAACGAGGTCCTTCAGTGAGTCAACGAGAGTCTCGTAAATGATGCTCTTCAGATGGCCCCATAAAAAAAATACAAGCTGGATAAATCTGGCGAACGGGTCCACCACGTCCAATTCATCGGCCCGGAAATGTCCCATCCAAGTAATTGTGGACCCGCATGTGGTTATGGACTGGTGCACCATCATGCTGTAACCACATGAGATCACTAACGACAGTCGGAACATCCTGCAGCAATTCCTCTTGAAGAAAAATATGATAACATAAGCCATTTGCATGTGCGGGTAAGAGGTATGGGCCTATGAGGTAGTCGTTAACAATACCCGTACATACATTCAAGGAGAAGCGGGTTTGCAATGCATGTGGACGTGTGCCATGTGGATTACGAGTTGCCATACGTGCATGTTGTGGCTACTGAAGATGCTGTCCTGTGAGAAAGTTGCCTTATCCGTGAATAGCACATCCGATGGGAAATCCACCTGCGTCGTACATTGCTGCAAGAACCATCTCTTGCGGGTAAGAGGTATGGGCCTATGAGGTAGTCGTTAACAATACCCGTACATACATTCAAGGAGAAGCGGTTTTGCAATGCATGTGGACGTGTGCCATGTGGATTACGAGTTGCCACACGTGCATGTTGTGGCTACTGAAGATGCTGTCCTGTGAGAAAGTTGCCTTATCCGTGAATAGCACATCCGATGGGAAATCCACCTGCGTCGTACATTGCTGCAAGAACCATCTCTTGCAAGGCTTGGACTTTCTGCAAAATGGTATGGGTGCAAACCATTTTCATGCAATACTCTCCAAATGGTGAAATGACTCAACTGCAGATGACACAATAGCTCTTGCACTTGTCTGAGGTGATTCATGCACAATGTTCAAGATGGATTCTTTAATGCGAGGTTGTCGTGCACTTCTTCTTCCACTTTTAGTGTCAGAGGTGGCATCAAATGACCTGTTTTCAACAGAGACCGATGCAACCTCTCGAACATTGAGTGCTTCGGCATACGCCTGTTCGTAAATCGTTCCTGGTACAACTGTAGCGCTGCTCTGCCGTTCCCATTAGCAGCACCATACATGAGATGCATGTCAGTTTTTTCTCTGTGTGTAAACTCACACATCAGACTTGCGAATGATCTTCTCATGCATGGGATCATGGTTTGTCCGGCTCACTACCACCTTCTACCGCTGCATTGCCAGCCAATAACAGCTTAGTTCCTATTACTGTTAGTGTTCCCTTTTTTGAACATTTATTGTAAATACTGTATTGCTGCTAGGAAGCACTTTGCATTGATTTTGTACATAAACATATTTTCCTCTCGTGACGTTCTTTTGCGTTCCTGCCTTAACCCGTCACTTGAGACCCCACATTCCTATACAAAAAATGCATGTTTTAGTATGCGCTCCCACCCCTCCAAGTTTGTCCCATGATCTATGAAACACCCTGTATATGCAAATATACACTGTAATAACAGAAGTGCAGTCGTACTGCTGATTTAGGTAGTTAACTTACAAAATCAAGTAGGTTTGGTTTGGTTCATGTGATTACGTCAAAGCCTTGATGGCTATCTGATTAATAGAAGGGATGCCTTCGTGGAGGACTTTCTAGGAAAAACTGGCTCATACACATATTACACAATGGAGAAAACCATGAAAACACCCATGCAGCCAGCCCGTTTGCGGTATTCGAAACTTGGTCAGAACTAACAGTGTTCAGCAACTTTACCACTCGGCTGCTGGTGAGCCCCCAAAATCAAATAGGAAAGAGATGAAAATGCAAACACATAGTATTTTTGTAATCAGCCAGATAAAGCAATTAAAAGGGCCCCCATTCAACTTGCCTGCTGTTTTTTGACCACCCCTAGACTAAACCATTTGCCTTCAATCTTTTATTATCCATACCGTACAACTTTTGCAACTTTGTTGACCTCTGTTACTCACTGTTGCTGCAATAACCCAATTTAGTGAATTATCATAAGCAATTCAATAAATTAATATACTCACAAAGCTAATGATTTAAATGCATGAAAGGTAATACTTACTCTGCTTAATTCAGGTGGAATATGACGAACATATAAACAGCAATCATCATACTCTGGTGACAAGCTGTAAGATTAATAGTTATTAAAAAATACTCATTTGTACACAAATAAAGATATAAACAAATAATATCAACCAATCTTGATTATTGCTATATTTTTAGCATTAAAATGCTTTTCACTGTCCCTCACCTAAAAAAAACAAATATGAAAACTTCCCAAATCAGAAAGGTTAACATACTTCCAAATAAAACATTTTCTTACTTGAATATTTCAAGTAATAAAATAATATTACATTTTCTACTTGAATATTTCAAGTAATAAAATTTCGTTACCTCACAACAACATTTTTGTTATCTTAGTACAAGTTGCCACATTTTTAGAATGCGTGAAACCTCGATAACCATGCAAGACTTGCTTTCACTTTGCTGTGAAATTTGTAAAAAAATTCATTAAGGTGTCCAAAATTACCAGATTACAGCCATTATTTATTTCCAGTTTTGTTCCAAAAAGTCAGCTACAGAATATCTCAAAATCATGTGTACATCTTTAGGTACTAATGTTGTATAATATAACACTGTGAAAGTTTGGAATCGAAAGTTAAAAACAAGGACTGTGACACTGAAGAAGTAGAGCACTCTGGCAGGCTACTGATGTTGATGAGGCCCGCCTGCAAGAACTTGCGGAAAAAGATCAGTATGCAACCACTTGAGAGCTTGCTAAGGAGTTAGACTTTAGTGCCATGTCCATTAGTCACTCTATGCATCACATTAATTTGACATACAAGTTCAATCGTTGAGGGCTGCATGAGCTGACTCAAGCCTGCACTAATCTGCTTGAATATCAATGCAAGAAAAAAATGCTGGACCAGATCGTCACTTGTGGTGAAAAGTGGATTTACTTCAACAACACAGGCTGAAACTAGATTGGTCTGCGCCCACTGGAGCGTCGTGAAGTGAAATTTTTGACAAACAAAAAGACCATGCTTTGTATCTGGTGGGAATGCCATGGTATTATCTACAAACTATCTGGAAAAGTTTACATCCTCGACAGTAAGATGGTAGTCTATGTTGATGCTGCTATCAAGGAAAAATGTTGAACTGAGTTCCGGTGCAAAAATGTAATGTTCCATCAAGATAATGCAAGACCACATATGTTAGCATTCACAGGCTGGACTCTGTACAGAATTGAATGGCCATACCTATCATACAGCCCCAACATTGCTCCTTCGAACTTTTACCTATTTTCACACCTGCAACTACATCTTGTTGATGCTATCTTCCATTCTGCACAGGATGTCCAAAATGAGGTTGATTTGTTTTTGGACTCATGGTCAACTTTGAAACTAAACTACTAAACTTTGAAAACTGCTAAAATATTAGCAGAAAACCATAGATTTGAGTGGTGATTATTACCCACACTAGAGGTGCATTATTAGCAGCCACTACTGAATTGTGGCCACCAGAAAATATCTGTTTAAAATTTATTTTGGGTATGTAGATGTTGTTAATTTTAAATAAATTGCCCACAATATTATATTAAATCAATATCTATAAATTTATATTAAAGTGCTTCAATATGTATATAATAAATTAATTACATATTGTAGTCACTGGCTGAATTGTTTGTATGTATTGGCAACTGTTTCTCGCTAAGACTTTCATTGGTAAGTTTCTCACTTTAATGTGACAATCCAATTCCTGAACAAGCACTGAGAAACAATAAATCACTGAGAAACAAAATTAAGAACTAAGGAAAGATCAAGAACTAAAGATTAGCAAAATTTTTAGAAATTAAGACAGACACTGAGCAGGATCTTTTGAGAATTAAATATAGGGTGCGGCAGCTTTCATAGTAAGATATTAAAAGCACACCATAAAGCAGTAACTGTAATTTATTTATTACCTCTTATGTCAATTAATAGTTAAAAGGTATGCCATTTACTAATGTTTAAATCATTGCCTATTGCGTGGATTACTTTTTGAATATGATGCCCCCTCTGCACAACACATTCATCTAGGCGGCATTGGAAGCTTGCCATAACTCGGCGTAACGTATTCCCTGGGACATTGCCGACAGCAGTTCGGATGCGATTCAACTCAGGAATGGTGGCACAACATGTTCGGAAAACGTCTTGCTTCAGGTGCCCCCAAAGTTGGCATATGAAAGATCAGGTAAGCAAGGCGACTAGGAAATGTCACCAAAACGGGAAATTACTCTACCTGGAAATGTCTGTCGCAATGGTCCGTCCATCTGGAACTTTTCCATAACGTCCCAAGTTGGAATGTTGCCGAAATAGACGCTGGGTAGCAATAACAGAGTAGTTATTCTTGAGCAGCAAAGGCATGATGCTGTGCACTCCAACGACCCATATCACTGTTACACTCGAAATGGCAGCTCATTAGTACATGAATGCGGCATAAGGTGGTGCGCATTCATGCAGTATGTCACTGTGCTACGCAAGTCAAATTATGCTATGAATGCTGCCGCACCCTATATAACTGATGACCTTTTGAGGATCCACTATAAATAACACATAAGTACCAAAGACCTTTCAGCTTTCCATTTATTTACAACAAATTAAGAAATTCTTTAGAGTTTGAAACAGCAGTGAAGTTAGTCTTTTGCTATAAATACTCTAAATATTACAACTAATTTCTTTTTAAATTTTAAAACATATTTTTCTCTAATAATCACTGTACTACAGTAAATTTTCAGTTATTTTTCATGTTTCTGTCAGTTTTATTAATTTTAACCACTTAAGCAAAATCTTCCCAGTCCAGATTTATATACTGTTATAACAGAAAATAAAACAAAACATTTAACATGTGATAACATATTTAATATCTGATGAACTTTGCATGCAAATAGTAATGCAAGACTGAATTAATTATGCATGACATTTATCCGTCTGTGTGCAAATTCATATGCGAGTGATTACAGGGTTCGTACACATTTCTGCACATGGAAATTAAGTACTTTTAAGGACTATTAATGAAAAAAAAATTAAGGACCTAGGAACTGAATAATTTCAATTAAAACTATTATCTATGCCTGAATTTCACTTTTGTAATACCATTCTAAAAGTAAAATAGATCCCTAAGTAGTGAGCATTATTACTAAACATGAATTAATGAACATAATTATTAATAAGTTTGAGAATAAAATAAACTTTATGCAACTTATCAAGTAGCATTTAACATTTTACACTTATAATAGTTGGACATATTTGAAAGAAGATAAGTGACATTTACGTTTTACTAATAGTTAGCTTTATGTTGATATTTTTATTTCATTTTGTCACATACTTGGTCAGTCTAGAGGTTTAGTATATAGCAGGTGGATTTTATGTCAAACGACATAGCTTATGACCAAATTTCACTTTTGTAACACCATTTTAAAACTAAAATAGATCCCTAAGCAGTGTGCATTATTACTAAACATGAATTAATGAATATAATTGTTAATAAATTTGAGAATAAAATAAACTTCATGCAATTTATCAAGTAGCATTAAATATTTTACACTTATAATAGTTGGTCATATTTTGAAAGAAGATAAGTGACATTTACGTTTTACTAACAGTTAGCTTTATAATGAGTTTTTGTGCATCTCATTTTGTCACATACTTGGTCAGTCTAGAGGATTAGTAAATAGCAGGTAGATTTTATGTCAAATGACATAGGTTATTATGAGAAGTAAGATCATAATCAGTATGATTCATTACGACTGAATGTTGTCACTGCTGCTGCTTGTCTAGAGATAGACCTGCTGATTAGAGCAAACCTGAAAGGCATGATGTAAGCACAGTTGGCAAGTGTTGAAAGTTAGTCAGTCTCTGTTTGATGCAGTTAGTGTCGTAGCTTCGTGTAGAGTTCCAGGGGTTGTAACCCAGTTAATATACTTTAAGGTTCCAATAAGCCATTAAAGCACCAGAGGTGATAGTTTTTTTTTTTTTTTATTATTATTATTATTATTATTATTTTAAGTCTCAGTAGATGCAAAGAATAAGTTTTACTTGATTTTTTACATTTTTGTATTTTATCTTGCGACCACGGTGACTATTAATGAAAAGCAATAACTCGTTTTAATATGTAGAGATAATTTTTAAGAGTAAGCAGTTAGTTATAAATAACTAAATTAGGTAGTTTGATAACCTTAGTCATTATGGATTTACATGATCACTATAAAATTTTATTTTTTAACAATATTTGTTAAACAGCCCGATTAAAATCAAAGTTTCACAGTTTAAAATACATGTAATTTATGACATTGATTCTTGAACAATATTAGTATAACTACACACTAAAAGCTACAAAACATTTATGTTTTGTAACAACAGCACTCAACAAAATATTTATCCGCCATTTTAATTTGAAGCCTTCCCAGGCATTTTGGCTAGTTTACAATTAGAGATTTGTCTCAATATGCAAACTAATGTTCTCGCTAGTTTCTGTGTACTTTATATACTAACTTGTCAACTTCTCCACAATATACCTATGAGGGTTTACTTGATCTGGCCAAAGTTAAATAGTCCAACATCCCCGACAGACATGAAGCATATTATTGCTATGTCTGAGAGTAACTACAATATCAGACAAAGGTTTAAATAAGCCTCTTATTTAAAAAGAACTTAGAACATAAAGGAATGTTCTGATGCAAACAAAATCAATTACAGCTCACGATGATGTAATTAAACAAGAACAGTAAAATTAAAACTTATAATGTGGACTAGTGGTCAAAGATTATACAATTTAATTTTAATTTAATCTGGCTCAGTAACTCTATCATATGAAGAAATAGAAATGGGAAATTATAGCCAAGACTGAAATCAAACAATTGAGTAAATTACATAATAGTAACTGCACATATCTTTGAACCATAATTTTCTTTATGTACTCAATTTCTTTCTTAAACACGTTATTTTAGAATTTTTGGATTTAATTAAGGATTTCTGTTATTCTAAAAAACACTAAATGCATTTAGAATGTATAGAAAAAGTGGCTAATTTTATATCTTTAGTAATATAAAATATACATGGTAAAGGCCAGTTACAGAGCTGATGTGGCAAAATTTTTAGAATTTAGTGACACACCAAACAACAAAATCTAGAGATGGCAAAACTTTTAAATTTTAGAGCAGGCAATGGAAACAGAATTTAGAAAGGCACTAGGCAGCAGAATTTGGGATCCACAGACATTGCATCAGGTGGGAAAATGGCTAGTGCCAGCTATGTGTATGATGCATTAAGACATATTAGATGAATCTTTAAAATTGTAAGTTTTCAATTTCTTTATTAATAAAAAAATCTCTTTCTTGTCTGCCTATGTGATAAGATTAGAAGCATTTTTAATATCTTCCATGCTTGTGTCTAGTGAAAAGTAGAAAAAATAAAGGGAAGATAAATATGTTAAGATTCTAGTATCAGAAATAAAACATTCAAATATTATGTTTTCATTGTACTTCCAGACGTTCTCCAAAAATTAAGAAATTCATTTAAAAAAATATGAAATTTTTTACAAATACAAATTATATCTTATATTCATTACGTATTAATGCCATAAAAACCTTTTTCTATCAATCTTTCTAAAATTTCCAAGGTGCCATGTCTAAAAATAATTCCACTCTATAAGAGCAAAAAGCTAGAAGAGATCTCGCAATAAAAAATTTAGAAAAGAAAAATGTAAAGCAAATTTTTAGGAGAAACCTGATACACATTTGAACATTCTAAAACTACACGGTAAAAAAACTTATGACGTAAATTGCAAAAAAAATATGCCTAAGAAATGTTAACTAGCACTCAAAACCGCAGTTGTAAAAAAACAATGTATATCTAATTATAACATTTTTTATATAAAACTACTGTATATGATGGCATATAAGACACACCCTTATTTAGAAGGCCACACACATGTAGATGTAGAAAAAGTTGTGTGTCTAGATCTTTATCCGGGCTTAAAATAGCATTCAGTATTGAAAGTTAACATGTGTCCTTCACGTATAAGATGCAGGTAACTTTTTTAAGACCAAATTTAGGAAAAAAAGTGTGTCTTATACGCCGTCAAATAGGGTATTTAAAAATACACCTAAAAATTATCCAATGCAAACTTTTCAGATTACAATCCAATAGTTTTTTGAAAACATATATATATATATATATATATATATATATATATATATATAAAATTTAAGTTTCTAGAAAATAGGGCAAATTCTAGTCATTTAGAAATGGAAATTAGCAAGCTTCATGTCTTCAGCTTGCAAATACCTTTTTACGTGTTACAAACATGATGTGCATTATATCCCTTCAGGGGGCATTTTTTACTTCATGGATGTTCTTATAAACATAGACATTTATATATATACATGCATGAAGGAAATACAGTGTTATTTCACTTTGTAAAGTAATAACACATTTAACAGGCATGTTAAAATAACTTAGAACAGAAAATTCATTAAAAAAATGCATAAAAAGCATCATAAACATTGGGTACTTTAAAAAAACAAACCTGTAGCTATCATCATATGAATTAAATGTTTTGGAATTAAAATCATCTTCCATTGGATTCCAATTATCTAGCTCTAGAAGCTCTTCTTCAATGCTAACAAAGAAAGAAAAACTTGCCATTATGTAAAAATGAACACATAAATTATAACAGAAAGTAACAAAATGCACCTGTTACATTAATAATTTCTTAACTGTTTTCTCATCTATAATATATGTAGTTAGCACTAAATTTTAAAAAACATAACTTCATCAAATAAGCAGTTCAACGAACTTTATACAATGTAAAAAAAAAATAGTTTTTATATTTTAGGTTACTTTGTAGAACAGTACAAAATCCAGATCTCCTATGTCCAGAATCATCTAAAACATCTGGATCAGTGGCAACCCCCTTTTTCTTTAGAATTTTTTTTTTTAATTCTTTATTTAAAAAGAAGAATTCTTAGGAATTTGATTTTTCTTCATAATAAAAATTTAGTGTTGTTTGAATTAAGAATAATTGATTTGATATTCAGATAAGCCCAAGACAGATGCCAGAGGGCAGTAGAATTTTAGTAAAGGCAATTTTTTTTTTTTTTTTTTTTTTTTTTTTTTTTTTAAGTTAAAGGTACACCAAGCAACAAAATTAAGCAATGGCAAAAATCTTTAGAACTTAGGTAAGGCATTAGAATACAAAATTTTAGGAAAATGCTTTGACAGGAGAATATTGGACTTTGCAGAGACAGCACTGGACTGCAAAATATCTCCCGCTTGCCCTGGATAAGACTTAGATATATGTGAGAATTTATTTATTTGGGACTCATAAACCTTTATCATATGCAAGAAATAGGCATAAGTATAAATAAGACTAAGTATAAATAAGACATAAGTATAAAAACTAATATAATTCAAGCTTATCTTTGTCAGCATGCAAAGCAGCAAAATAAAATTTAGCTTTACATGTCTATAGTTGCAAGTCTCATGATTAATCACCAATAGTATATAGCAAGCACTAGCTCAGCTTTATGATATTAGCCTAAAAAGCAAAATTTTCCAATTAATGGTATTTTTAAAGCAAGGTGGAGATGTGGTAATAAACGAAGATGATATAACAGAAGTTTATCATTGCAATGGCAAAATCCCAATGATCATTCAACGAATGGACAGCAAACCCAGAAAATATGGCTATTGCCACTTGCGACACAGAGGTTATTGAGAACGAAAAAATTTTGTTTGACAATATTATGAGAATGGATATTATGAATGGAATTTGTAATAAAACAAAAAATTACGTCTATCAGTAGAACTGAAGAGAAAGCATTAGCACAAAAAACAAGGCAAATTAAACAACTCACGTTGAAAAAAATATTTAATAAAGCAAACAAATAAATATTGAGCTCTTTTTTGGGGGGGAGGGTAAATTTACATTTCTTTAACATTTTAACTGCCAATCTCATACCAGAATGTGATATGGCATGAATGTTAAAGGGGCAATCAAGCACTAGCATGCGGTGCAACATCTCAGCAGATCACCAAGATAGCAATGATTTTGGCACTTGCCAACCATTTGGCGACATTTTGTTCCAATTCCAGAAAAATTCTCACCTTTTAAGAAAGCTTTTATTTATCACTGCCTTAGCAGAAACTAAGCTATATATCAAGGAAAATTACTGGTTTCTTTTCCTCTTTAATCTGACATATCATTTTGAAATATGAATACTTGTTCCCTTCTTTTCACCACCAATAATTTCCCATGTCTGGTGATTTCGGGGGGGGGGGGAATCTCCTTTTTCTGCTTTTTAAATCAGGCTAGGAATACATGTTAAATTTAATGTTTTACTTTTCACAATCATAGGTATAAAACTTGGTGCTATCTAAACATAAAGCACTGACTATTGAAATGGTAATAACTGAAGTAGATCAATTTTAATAATATTTCCCATTAAATCTCTTCTAATTTTGGCTCATTGGCAAGTTTAATATCAGACAGATATCATCCTGGGGAAAAAAAAAAACTTTTAATAAATTAACTGTCATACGAGTTCTATTTATCAAAATTTACTATTTCTTCCTTTAGTGTGGCAGACAATGCATTAAAGCAGAAAAAATGGATACAATACAAGCCATTTTTGGAAAATCAAGCCTGCATAAAAAATTTCCTTACACTGTTAAAAAGTTCAGTGCAAAGAGAGAATTGTGAGGTGGCTTCTTATGCAAGCTATTATAGGACAAAGACATCAACTGGTATAGTAATATGATTTTTCAAATTTAATAGCACTGATAGAATTTAGAAATATTAATGAAAAAATAAACGGATTACAAGCAAAATTCACTTCAACTGTATAGTTATTATAATTATTTAACTGGAATCAGAATTTAAAACACTAGAAAATACACCAAAAAAACCTCTTATTTGATTTTAATTAAAACTATTGAATTCAAAGAATACCAAAAACAGGTCACTCTTCGTCAAGAGCAAAAAATCTTTTTAAAACATCTAGTAGCTTGCACAAGGTGTCATCTCATGATTCTTTCTTTGCACATAACTTTACTTTCACTATTCTTTTTTTCCCTCATGAGGACAAATTTTCAAAAATGTTTTATGTGTTCCCTTGTTAACATATTGCTTGCCAAATTAAGGGGGAAACATTAAATACAGTACAAAGTCCGTAATCTGGACGTCGTGACTTCGGCGATTCCGGATTATAGATCATCAATTTAAATCAGATAAGATGGCATGCAGAAATTATAAGAAATAATAAGAAATAAATAATAAGTTAGAAATAAAGAACAATTAAGATCTAAAGGGTATCAAAAAAAAAAGCTTAATATTTATTTTTTTACTTTATTAAACATTTCTTTCAATGTAAGTTGTTTAAGTTGCTTCGTTTTCTGTGCTAATACTTTCTCTTTAATTCTATAAACAGACATAATTTCTTGTTCAGTTACAAAAATACACAGTTCAAGTCCTATAATTGTTGGGTCAAGAATACCAACTAACTTGTCAATCGAAATTTGTTCGTTTTCAATATACTTTCTGTCACTTTCTTCACTATCGGAAGCGGTATTTTCTGGATCTAGAACCATACTACATAGTTCAGCGTCCGCTAATTGATGATTGGGGCATTGTCGTTGCAATGAAAAACTTCTGTTATATCATCTCCAAGCTTAATTTTTATAAAATTGCTTTAACAGTCTGCAAAAAAATAATAAGCCAGATCCAATTAAAAGATTAAGGAACAGTGCAATCTGCAACATTAACTGAAATGCCTTAGAATCAGTAAAGATAGTTTTAGCCTAGCTTATACCGTATGTTATATGTTAAACGCACATGTTCGGATTATAGATCATTCCAGATAACGGACATCCGGATTACGGACTTTGTACTGTACGGTTAAATAACTGAATGACGAAAAAGGCCCCCTGTGCCTGACTGCCCTCAAAATTGTTAGAGTTTTCATTAAAATTTATAGTATATAACAATATATCTAGAAAGATATATAACAATATATCTATATTTCTAGATATAACAATATATCTAGAAAGATATATGGTCTAACATGCAGAGAAGGTACTGCAGTCATGCAGAACATCAGCACTTCTGGTAATAATTTGCAGCCAAAGTAAACTATACCTTGGTTGAAAGCAATAGTTACAGAAAATTAAGCTTTTAATATAAAAATATTTAATGAACATTATTTTTGACAGCTTTATATAGTCCAAGTATCAGTTCTCATATTTCATACATTTGGAATTCAGCTAAAGAGTTTACAAAGATGATCAAACTCATCCAAGAAATTAAAATCATGTTCCGACTAAATTTAGCTCCTGAAGCTATATACGAGGGCAATCCCAAAAAAAAAGGTCTCCTATATTTTTAGATATACAAAGAACCGTTTATTTTCTATAATTGCTACATCACTTTAAAGATTGAAAAATGCTTTATTTTTCAACATAATCGCCATTTCGGTCGATGCATTTTTGTAGACGCTGTGGCAGTTTTACAATGCCTATGTCATACCAGCTTGCCGCCATGCCCTTCAGGAAGCGTTGAACGATCATCTGGAAACCTCAGGAACCAAAATGCACAGAGCATCCAGAGTGATCCTCCGATCTTTACACATGAGTTCCTCAACTTTCGCGATTGTCTCGTTGGCAATTGACGGCCTCTTGCTTCTTTCTTCGTCATGAATTTCAGTACGACCGGCTGTAAACTAAACTACACCACTTGCGAACGTTTTTGACATCCATGCACGGCTGTCCATACACTTCCGTCAATAGGCGGTGAATTTCAACGGGTTAACGCCTTTTGCGTTCAAAAGTCGAATAACTGCGCGCACTTCGCACTTGGTGGTAACGTGTATCGGGAGCTCCATTTCGAATGGCTGCCAAGCCAAGACTGAGCATCCGAGCGAAGCGCCTGCGTGCTTATGTGGTAGCGGAGGAGGCACCACTCACAACAGTGTTGCCAACAACCGAATTAAAACTTTCTCTATGTCCCCAAAAAACAGGAGACCTTTTTTTGGGGATTGCCCTCGTATCATTGTGAATACAGATCACAAATACTTTAAAAATAGAGTAAGCCGTGAGTGCCTCATTTCATGAATAAATTACTTAAACAAAAAATACCTCAGATGACAAATGATGTTTCAAGTTATGAACATTCACGTTGATAATATGCGATTTTCAAAGGTGTTTTGAGGTAATGTATGTCACACAGTTAACACTCAAGACTTCTGGAAACATAATTTTAATTTTTCAATTGCTTGACGTTCATTCACAAAGCTTGGTAGCAGGTGACTTAAGCTTCATTCATACTGTGAACTTGGCTTTCGCCATGGCATTGGAGTTTTTGCCATGTGACGCAGACAACATACAACGGTATCTGAAGGTTACTACTGAACAGCCAGTCTGAATCATACTGTGATTTTAAAATCAAAAATGGTCTAAGCCAAGCTTTGTGGTTAAGCAACCAAACCTTGCTACATCAGAAAAACTGGTTTAAGGACTTTGCCTAAATGGTCTGACTTTTCAACTTTATGCCACTTGGTATAACAGCCAACCAATCTCAGCAAAGCAAACATCAATTGACGGCTTCACTGAGTCAGCTACACATTTACACATGTGCAACTTTTCAATTCCTTCTCTGATTGGCTATGATTTAATACTCTGTTAAAAAGGTGTGAATGTGCTTTATGATGATGATTCCCCCCCCCCAAAAAAAAAAGCTGGCGAGATTTGCACCCAGCTAACCGAAAAGTAAAAATTTTTAACCGACAAAACTTTGGTCTAAATGCAGTCTTAAAGAACCACTGAAATCAGCCTGGAAGAAATAAGGCCAGATAGGTTGCACGCAAAAACTTTAAAACACTTTGATGCTCAGAATTAGTGGCACTTTTCAGTTAGACAGGCACATATGGATAGCTGCCAAATAATTTAGACCTGTGAACATCTTGCATACAAACCTGACAGGAATCATTTACTGTCATTTCCAGTATTCATTTAAAACAAGCAACATCTATTCTTACTCTTGTGAACATTTGGTATTCAAAAATGCTGAAAATTTAGGAATTGTCACGAAGTGAAGAGAATACCATCTCTCTCCCTCTCCCCCCCCCCAAAAAAAAGAGGGATTTGGTAACAAATTGAACATGTAACAAAAATCATGAAACAAAATTTAATTTTTCTGAAGGAGTTAGATGCATTGCAATGCTTCTACCTGACACAGCAAGAAGAGCATTCGTAAAGACATACGGTTCGAAATATCCAGATTAAGTTTCCTAACATAAAAACTTCTTTTTTGTATATTCATGAAAATTAATATTTTCTGGTCACTCAAGCAAGTAGTCTCAAAACATTGCCCCCCCCCCAAAAAAAAGCTGGTGGGATTTGCACACAGCTAACCGAAAAGTAACTTTTTTTTTTTTTTTTTTTTATCTGCATTGTGCTTTTAGACAAAAATCATGGGCTAGGAAGTGACGAGTGAAGACTAAGAAGTTGTTAACATAAACTTAACAAGAAAGAATTATAACTTCAGAAGCAGCAATGGAATGCAATTGTGAAAGAAATGGCTTTCACAGAGGAGAAAGAAAAGTGATTCAGTTCTCTGATCCACAGAATTTGTGCAAGATGCAAAGTTTTTACATAACAATATCACCCTGATAAAGCAGTAACAAGCATTTTCAATGACAATGATGTGTCTCACATTCAAAATATTTTAAAACATAGGCAACAAAAAAGTCAAATTGAATAAATTTTGAGAGAAATAGAGGCCCAGTGAGTCTCATGCACAGATGATTGGTGCCTAGAAACAAAGATAAGGAAAGATACCACCTGGTGCTTTTATAGAAGAGAAATACACCTCTAAACAATACCATTTTCATTTTCCACACATCTATTCTTCTTTGTACAATACAATCAAATTTCAACTATTTTATTAAATTAATTTTGGGTTTATCTTTTTTGTTTTATATTTAATGATTTCTATTAGTTTGATCTTATGAACCTGCATACGAAGTACTGCTGAAAAGTGTAAATAAGTAATCATCTGTGGTCTAGGAATAGGTTTATTTATTTTACATTAATTCTTATAGAGAAAATTTACCTCGGTTTACAAACATTTCAGGTGAAGAACTTCTTTCAGGAGCAAATTAAATTCATGACTGAGGTTTCACTAAACTGCAAATCAAAATTTACTTATTTTTTAACTAATTAAAACTGATTTGATTTTTAATATCTTCCGCATTTTGTACCTTTAGGCTTTTACTATCTGTCCTACTTGAGCCACTCTGATCAAATACTGAAGTCAGGTTTGCTATCTTTTACTTTCTATTTTTCAAGAAACAAGTTTCAAATAGCCATAACTACTAAGCAATACAATATTGATATATGAATTTCACGAGAAGGGAAAGAATTACTTGGATGGTGAAAAGGGAACAGTTTTGGAAATACAAGAAAGCAAAATATTTAGTCATCCAAAAATTTAAGGAGAGCCTAGAAAAAATTTTAACTTCTAAGAGATGTAAAGAATTCAGGACAGGTGCACTTTTACAATCAAAAATCTTCTGATGATTATACTATAAATATAGATAATAATGGAATACATTGTTATCAAGCTTAATTAAATGGCATACTAACAACTGCAATGTTAGATACATACACACACACAAAAAAAAAAAAAAAAGTTTCCCTCAAAGATGCAGACAATTTTTTCTGCATAATAGGTACTACTTTTATTTTGGCAGCAATTCTAGTTAGTTCCTGGTTTATTTAAAATAATAAATAAATTACTTTGTATTGGTGCTGCTGTGTTTTGCAAATTAGTTCTTGAAAGAAAATGAATGGTAATAATTTTACATCATTAATATTTTAAATAATTATAATTTAGCGTAATTTTCGGAAGAAAGGCCGCATCTGCGTAAACGCCCGCACTCGAGAAAAATGGCGGGAAAAAAATTACACAGAAAAGCCGCAATAGATTAAATTGCGCGTGACATCGTCGTGGGCCGTATAGATGCAAAAACTCAACCCAAGTCCTGATATATGACATACCAATTAAGAAAAATGCATGAAATGAAACCATAACTCAAAAATAAATTAAAGGTAAGAAATGTATAGCTTCTGTGCCGTTTAGAGACATTTTCAAAAAATTTCCGCTCCCTTCTTACTTAAAAACTATTCAACAAGTACTTGTACCCAAACTGGTGGGATCTGTATTTGGCTGAATGCCAAGAAAAATCCATTCAATCTGAAGGGGAAATACGTCAGAGTTCGTTATTGCGAGGCAGGTGGAGTCGTGTCCGCCTTTGAAAAAAATTGCGAAAAGGCAGGGGTGGGAAGAGGATGGGTACTGGAAGATTCATCGAACCACAGAGGAGAGAGACTATTCAAACTGATGAGAATGTTGATTTGAAAGGGGGAAGAACGTTATTGTTCTGAGATCTCGTTTAGGGTGAATAAGGGTTCAAGGGAAAGAAGGTAAACAAAATAACGTTCGCAAAAAGCAAATGAGTGGTCTTTTGTGTGGGAACAGCACCAGTCTATGCACAATGACAAGGCCATCCAAACTATGTACAATGACCATCATAGGAAATATTTTATTTTCAGTGCACCTAAACGCCGCATGGGTAGAAACGCCGCACCCGCTGAAAATTTAAGTTTTAAACACGTAAACGCCGCGGCGTTTCTTCCGGAAATTACGGTAATTACTATTAACTTGAAACATTGAAGACCATTTTTAGTCCGCTCCATATTACTTACCATGTTCTTTTTCATTTATACTCTTTAATATAACATTTGGTGAAGTAATCATAGAAAACTGAATAAAATCTTAGCATATCTCAATCAAATCAAACTGATTTTCCTTGATTTTTGATATACTACTCTTCTGAAATCTAAATCTGGTACGTAAAGGATTACTTCCAACAAAATTATTCATAAAAATTAATATATATGAAAATTAACAAAAATCTTGAACTGAAACAAATATACAATTATATATATTATACAGTACAAAGTCTGTAATCCAGATGTCCATAATTCGGAATGATCTATAATCCGGACCTCAAAGCTACAAACTTTATGCGCATGCATAAACGCATAATGCACTTACACATACGCATAATGCCTTTAGACATGCACATTTAATGTATAATGGACGGTATAAGCTAAGCTAAAATTATCTAAGGCATTTCAGTTAATGTTGCAGATTGCGCTGTTCCTTAATCTTCTAATTGGATCCGGCTTATTATTTTTTGCAGACTATTAGAACAATTTTATAAAAATTAAGCTTGAACTTTCAATTATGTCAAAAAGAGTTTCCAATTCTGAAGCTGCCAAAGGATCTTACAAAGCGAAAGCACGTTTCGATGTTCATTAAACAAAAAGTGGAATTGCTGCAAAAAATGGATAAAGGGCATATCAGTCTTCAAAATTATGCAAGGAAGTATGGCATTGGAAAGTCCACTGTTTATGAACATGATACAAAGAAAAAGGAACTTTTTGAATTTTTTGTGGAAGCCTCTTAAACAACTTACATTGAAAGAAATGTTTAATAAAGTAAACAAATAAATATTAAGCTTTTTTTGTGTGTGTGTAAATTTTGATACCCTTTAGATCATAATTATTCTTTACTTCATAAATTATGATTTCATATTTTAATTGTATAATTTCTGCATGCCATCTTACCAGATTTAAATTGATGATCTATAATCCGGAAAAAACCCTAATCCGGAATCGCCAAAGTCCCGACGAGTCTGGATTATGGACTTTGTACTGTACATTTTAAAAAGTTAGTTTTGAATTAGATGAAACATTGGAAAATTAAAAGTTTACTAGTAGAAAAGTTTACCTCATTATAATGGAGTTAGATATCCACTTTCAAAAAATCAAAACTAAAAAAAAAGTTTAAAAGATTAGTAGGAATACAAAAAGAAATAGTTAAGACTGAAAAATGAAATTATGCAACAGGAAAGAAATAATAAATGTACTGAAAATCTAGTCTAAAGAGAGTCAAATATAAAAACACAAAAAATTCCAAAGAAAAATTAAATTTGGTCATTCTTAAAAATATTTTACAGAGCATAAAATATGTGAAACAATTAAGGAGCTATTACTTTTAGATTTCAAAGTAAAAATTCATGAGCAAGTATTACGTGGTGGATTGATGCATATAATATATACATATATATAAATTGTGAAGCATAAAAATAGTCGCCATAATATTTACGATAAGATTAAGTTGAAGAAAAATCCAAGAGGGGAAAAACATAATAGATTTTCATAAGCTAAATTTTTAATGTAAATTAAACAACTCGCCAAAACGAATCAGGTGAAAAAAAGTATGTTAGTGAATTAAGGTATGAAACGGTTAAGGTGCGGAGGCACGAAACCAAGCATATCATTAAAAACATCTGGAAGCATTTGCTTTTTTGATGCTTTTTGCCACCACTTACAGTGGAACCTTGAGATACGAGTTCCAGCGGTATAAGTTTACAATTGGGTGCCCCTTGTTTATTGGAGATTCTTTTTTGATGCCAAGATCGGCACCAGGAAGTCACAATTTCAAGATGGCCGCTACACAAAACCAAAATAAGAAGTCGAAGAATTGCACAAGATCTGTGTCCATGTACACATCGATCCGTTTTTACTTAAAAAAACATCCTAGAATTGCACAAACTAGGCATTGCGCACTGCCTTAAATATGTCCATGTACACATCAATGTATTTCCATTTAAAGAAAATCGGGAAGCTAAAACAAAGTTAAAACTATCGTGGTAACCAGAAGCGAGGTTTCATCGCCAAAAATTTTTTTAAAATGTCGCCAATCGGAGGGGCACCCAATTCTACACTAAAGCCATTCCAGCATTGAGCTCATATAGCAGATTTCTCGTATTTAGAAACAGCTTCCCAATTGCAAATAATGGAAATCCAGTTAATCCATTCCACACTTCCAAAAATATTAATATAAAAATCAATTTTTCTAATAAATAACACTGGTAAATAACATAACCATAGTTTACCTTTATGATAGCTTCTGACAAAAGATAGTTTCCGACACCGACCTTTTAACTGCTTTTCATTAATTGACACCAACAACAGCTTCTCAACATCTTCTAAGAGTCTGAGACGGTGCTTGGAAGTAATGGTAACTTCTTTGGCTACATCAAGTTTCTTAATTTCTTCCCGCTTCTTCAGAACAGTGCAAATCGTCAACATCGAAAAGCCGTAAGTCTTCGCCAATTCTGTCACACTTACACCACTCTTGTTTATCTATGATTTCTTTCTCAATATCAACGGCCATGGCTTCCTTCTTTTTCTTTGCAGAACTATCTGAGGCAACAATCTTCTTGGGAGGCATTGTGAAATAATTATTTTCATATTAAATGTCATAAACAATTGATTAACAAGTGCACAAACACGTAGACCAAAGAACAGTGAGTGATCTGACAAGGTGATCCCCCGAGCCGAGCCAGATCGAGAAACAGGCCATGCATACCAACAGCCTGGCTATCTGCACGAGTCAATGCTTCTAGTTAGAGACGAATTTTTCGCACATACTTTCCTCGTGTATAGAGGTGTTCGTATCTCAAGGTTCCACTGTACACTCAAGTAAATAAGAATTCAATTGGTTACAGTCAATATCATATTGACGTTATTTCACCATTTTACACTGCCACATAACCTTTCAATAGTTTGTGCATGACAACAAGTATCAGGATCGATAAAATTGTATTTATGGGTAACACAGAAATGTTTATATTCAGCTTCTCTTAGTTCTTCAAGTATTATACCTTTTCAAACAGTCTGTGTGTATTATAGTGCCATCAGTCAATTTTAGGCAGAGCAACTAAAATTATTCTTTTGTTTCAAGCAAATTCTGACGCACACCCATTAAATGGAAGGACATGACAGACTTTTTTTTTTTTTTTTTTTTTTGAAAAAATAGACTTTCAACTTTGACAATATTATGAGAGCTGACTGTTTTAACTGATGGCCTAGGCATTAATGCATGGCTATAAACTTTCCTCACAAATTATTCCAATCAACAACAGTGCATTGATTCATATCAAGTTGATACTGATAAAATTCAAGGACAGTTAATTCCAAGCACCATACATAAATAAAACTATCAAGCCAATTTTGAGAATGTAATGCTTCTTTTTCTCGGCATGTCCATCTTCATATTTCTATTTCGGTGCTTCTTTCAAATTAAAGCAAAGCTTCATTTTATGGCTTTTCATGCATTTTCTTTCAGAGTGAATAATTTATCGTTCCTGAAGAAATTGCATGGAAGATGTTTTATCATTAGATAAGGCCCAGATTTTCCTACCATGTTAAATACAATAATAAAACACAAGTGAACATATCTTTAGAATTCATATCCTCATTGTGTATGTGTATACCTGTGTATGAATACATATTTAAATATTTACATACTTATATACATGCATACAATGGATACATACATCCATGCAACACATACATCTCTAAAGACCTGTTTCCATTAATGCGTTGCGAATGCGTAGTATCATTGGGAGAAACGCATATGCAGACGGAAGACCATTTACATTATTGCGTTGGATTTACGTGCACGGAAGTTCGGTGGTCGATTGCATTTATTGCCACCAGATGTCTCTGTATTTAACTTACGAGATTTGGACTCTTAACATATTTAAATTCTATGTTATTGGAAATTTTTATTTCTGCTTATGAACTGTGAAAGTAAAGTACGCTAGCAATTTTTAGATAAGTAATGTTATAATGCATATTATGATTGCATAGAAGCTGAAGTAAATTTTTAAAATTTCTTTGTGTTTCTAGAAGCCTTAAATATTAATGAAATAATATATATATTGTTAAAACTAAAAGGTATTGTTACTGAAAAATAAATAAATAAATAAAATAAAATAAAAAAGTTAAACGAATTAAAAATAGTTGGTATTTTAAAAATACAGAGCAACTGTAAAGAAAGGTTCACAATATTTACACAAGCTGGATAATTTACATAGCTGGATAATTTATTGAAAATCTCATTTGTTTTAAAAAGCACTATGTGCAGTTATATTTTTTGTATAATTCAAAAACTATTATTTTTAATTTAAAAACTTTTTAATTCATATAACTTTATAAAGGAAGTTATAAAAAGCTTTTTCTCTTTATATATATAGACACATTAGGTAAATAAAATAGAAATATTTAATTAATTTCTGCACTTCTGCTGGAGAGGACTGAATTTAAAACAATCATTATAATAAGTTTTTTAAAAAAATATTTATGGCATACTGTCTTGTGTTAATTGATAGTGAAAGTTTAGAGCTGGAAATATCCCAAACTCTCAGCACATGCATGTACATTCACATAAAAGTGAAAAGAAAAAATAAGTATATATGTACAAGGAGAATGCTTTAAATTCGTATTATATAATTTCCAAAATAAATTTTTTTGCGGCAAAAAATTTAAATAACTAAGAGTATAAATAAAACATTACGTTTAATGCATATAATAATAGAAATAAATTATAAAACACAAATATAGATGAAATTGGAACAAGAAGTTAAGAAAGTTGCAGCCAGGATAGAAAAAGCGTATGGAATTCGAACTCTCGACCCCAAAAGTTAAACGATGTTATCGTCAACTATACCACTAAGCTATCATCATAAAACTTAATTTTTTTGGTCGTATTTCAGTGTGTTATCGTCTAAAAAATTCACCAAAGTTTCTTCTTCAGCTTCTAGAACATTTCTTATTTTAAAAAATATATTGTCTTTTAAAGTGCCCTTCCAGTTGAAGTTAAATGGGCTGCTAAAAATATATTCCATGTGCTTACAACTATACGTTAGCCAAAAAGGTATATTTATAAATAGAGAAATATGAATTTAACATACTCTTTAATGCAGTGAAATATTTATAAGGCTATCAAACTTAAGTTATAATTAACGTTTTTAGTTTTTACCTGTTTCAAAAGAAAAAATAAATATTTCAGTGCCATATCTGATTTGCTATAGCAGTTTGATATAGTCAGACGTTCATTTTCATTAAAGGTAAATGTGTATACAGAATTAGGAAATAATTGTCAGGACAAATTTTGCTATTTCATGGACTTCGAATCATACTTTTTGCACCTGATTTCCTTGAACTGAATTTCTTGAATGCCTGATTTTTTTCTGCGAACTAGTAATGTAGTTGCAGTTATCTTATTTTTCTTATCTTTTTTCAACTAAATTCAGCTGATTGCTGTCTTTTTCAGTAGGCAGATTTCTCGCTATAGTGCTAATTCAGAAATAAGTATTTTTTAGCAAAGCATTCTTTCCCTAAGCCAGAGTCTGGATTAAAGACTTTTGACTGTATTGTATATATTTAAAGCAAAGAAATATTCTTAAAAATTATTATTTAAATACACAGTTTTTTAAAAGTAACTCACTTATATTATAATAACTTTTTTATTGGTGGCTCATGTTTGAGAAAATTATTCAATGAAATATCACACTAATAAATAAAAAAGCTAAAATTATATTTCAGGGTGTACCTTGGCGAATGGCCAGCAAGGCATGAAAGGTCAATAAACTACATTTTAAATTTTACAATGAAAAAATATAAAAGGAAATACATGTTATCACATATATGCACTACAAAAAGGAAATATAGACTTACCATATTTAGAATTTTCTCAGTCTGTGGCACACAAAATTCCTTAACAGCTTCAAAAACTTACTAGAATATGCATACTGCTGTCACCACATAAATTCACAAAAATAAGAGTAAAAAATATCTGGTTGGTGGCATTTCTTGCATGAATCTTTCTTGCGACAAACCCATTTAAAGCTACCTGAACAATCTTTACATTCGACCAAGCACATTTCCTTCGTACAAACAGGACACTTATAAAAACTACTAAAGTAAACCTTCATTTACACACCAGTCAATTAATGCTCTTTTTTTCCTTTCCAAATCATATAGTAACTTTAGAGTCTCATCACATACAGCTATTTTATGATGTACAGCACATAATAATCAATATACTTCCTAACTTACATCCAATAAAAAAATAAACCCTTACAAATATTTTCCCTTCAGTCAAATTCACCGCAATAATGCAATCAATCGCATTATAATAGGGTTTCCATAACATTCAACTACTCAGGTTACCATAAATGAAACAATTTAGAGAGAAATGAAACAACTTGGCAGTAATCCAAGGGGGACCCTGAAATATATTTTTACCAAAAGGTTTACTTAGTACCCATTATAAGTGACCTGTTTGTAGCAAGGAAATGCGTATGGCCGAACATCGAAGGATACCAGCACTATGGAGGATATTTTTTATGCTTATCTTTGTGAATTTCTGTAGCGACACCAGTATACAGATACTAGTTCAAATAATTTTAGGAAGTTTTTGGATGCTGTTAAAGAATTTTGTTTGACTGAAGACAGGAAAATTTCTAAATAAGGTAAGTTGATATTTCATTTGTGTACTGCTAAGACGAATTTTCTTTTTTATGTTATTTTACTGTTTTATTTAAAGTATAGTTTAATGAGATTATACAAGTTTTGTTGGCAACTCCTTTGACTTTCTAAGTGAAAATAGATCGATATGTACATTGACAAACTCAAGGGAGTTAGCAATGGCAAGTTTGTGCAATTCTCTGGTGATTTTTAGTGAAAATAGGTTGATGTATACATAGATACTGAGTTTGTGCAATTTTTTTACATGTTAGATCGCCACTACACAAAGCCAAAATAACATGTCAAAGAACTGCACAAACTTGGTATGCATGTAGTGCCCTAAATCACCAAGGGGCACCAATAAATATATTTTTACCACATAGACTAACCATAAAGAATTCTGTCATACACTGCAATGCTTTTGTTTGAGGGGGATTTTATTACTCTAAATTTTATAGCAGAAATAATACAACATTTACTTCTAAATAAGTTAAACTGCTACTGGTAAATTCGTCTCCTTTAGCAACTTCACAAGAGCATTATTTTCTAGTTTTCTCCATTGTACAGGGAAAAGCACAGGTCTTTTGGAAAAACTTAATTTTGCATAGAATTTCTTTAGAAAATGATCTGATGAATTTTGCACTTTACAAAACTAGCTAGAATATGCATTGTATCTTTTCTTGGTAAGATGGGAGGGATATATCTAGAAAATTACTCACCTTTGTTATAAATGCTGGTGTTTCAATTAAAGAATTTACAGATGCGTAATCAACAAATTAGCTTTACTTACATTGCTCATTATTATAAATAATATACAAAATTATTTTCTTGTGTGATCAGATTCACTTCATGTGTTTTATTTGCCGAACTATAGATTATGGCCATTGTCACCAAGTTGCGAATATGTAACCAGACTTTTTGAAAATCCCTTTATCAAAGAATATGTATCACACATAAAATTAATGATAAAGTAAAATCTTCGGTAAAATCCTAGGAGAGCCCACACGCTTGGCGACAAACTAGAAAAGTGCAGAGTCACCCACTGCTTCGCACATTTCTCAAAATCGCCAACTTGGACAATAACAAGTTAAAGAATTGCACAAACTTGGTATCCATGTACACATCGACCTATTTTCACTTAAAAAAAACATTAGACAATTGCACAAACTTGGCATTACACATTCCTTTGACTTTGTCCATGTACACATCGATACGTGCCATATAAATGCGCATTTCTGAACATTACCCTTAGTTCAAGGATTTATGTAGTTGGAATATCTAGTGTATCAAAGTAGGATTACCAAGATTGGTGCAATTATCGCCAACCAAAAGCATTCGTGCCATTGCAGCAAGGGTGTGGGCTTTGCTAGGATCCAACCAAATCTTCTTCTGCATTGAAATTCACAACTAATATCTTTGGGTTACCACTTTATTTTCTAATCTTTCTAAATATGGACTAATAAGAAATACAATGATAAGTTCAACTAAGAAGGCTGAAGTTATTGCAGCCAACAGATGTGCTAACACATCACACAAATTTAATTCGAAAACAACTGAAATTAAATTATGGCAAGATTTTCTCTTTGTTGAATTAGAAAGTGTTGCAAGTACTATATAACTGCAGTATTACCTTCTAATCTAATGTTTAATGTTGAATACTAGCCCAGGTATTCATTAGCACAGTTTCGAATACCTGCCATAAATACCATCAACAAAAACATACACTAACCACTGACCATGTGCTTAAGTGTTAACTGTCAGAAACATAACAAATCTTACAATTACTTTTGCTTTCCGATGCAACAAGAAGAAAAAAAAAAGAGAGAGAGCCAAAGGTAAAGAGCGTGCATTAAATAAACTCTTTTTAGATTTTTAAATGCAATCCATGTCTACTTAGCATGAAAAATTCTTAACAAAGATTTCATTAAAAAATATGCAATATGAAGGATATTGCTGGAACGTAATTAATGAAATACATCAAATTAAGATGATGATGGAGCAAAGTAATCATTATTATTAACTACACTTACCAAAAAAAAAAAAAAAAACCTCAATAAAAATCATAAGAAATTACAATGTACTCACATTAAAGTTACATTTATAAAGGATAATTAAAAAATAAGTCAGTTTATGAGACTTACTAACACAGAAACTCACCAAATTCCAAGCAGAATAAATTTAGAAAATAAAACACCAAGTATGAAATACGGTACACTTTGCAGATGCGCGCCTCTCAAACGAAAACATGTGCGTCAATAATTTTACTCCAATACACTCACTCGCACTGAAAAACCAGATGCCAGAACTGAAGAACTTTGGTTGCCAGGTATTTCTACGAAATTGCCAGATGCAAAAATGTTAAAGTTTTACCAAAGCTAAAGGAGGCAACGTCACGGTAGTACGTAATATCAAAATCTATCTACAAGCAGATGAAGTCGTAATGTACTTAATTCAATGAGTTTATTTAAATGCATTTTAAGTTCTGATTTATGAAATGTAAGAAATGCCTTTGTTAAATGCTTATGTATAATATCTCAGAAAATGTATGACATCATCTGCTTCCAAAATAAATATTAAAAAAAATTACATGTATCAAACTCAGAAAATATAACGGGACAGTCTGGACACAGTCGGGATGGAAGAACTGTCATTTTTTGTAATCTACTTGTCAAAGAGCGAGTCTCCCGTCATCGTCTCGATCATTACAGGGATCGACGCACGACATTCCGAGGTGGAACAGCGTTCGAGATAGACATCTTATCGCTTCGCTCTCCGTTTCCTTGAGTTACTACCACCCCCGCTACTGTACCGAGTTCATCGACCTCGCCTCACGGGCTCTGGGTTGTTTCTTCTTTGGCTTTCGCCTCGCAAAAGCGTCGCCTTAACTCCACTGCTGCACCCTTCGCTGGATAAAACAGGTCGTATTTTATTCTTTCTTCTGATTTTCTTTATTCACCGTGCTGATAAGGGTACCTTCGGGTATGGCCGCTCTAGTTAGGCCCTTTTCCAACTTATTTGCCTCACATGATTAATCAATATGACGCAACAAACTTAACTGTAACTAATAATAACATAAACATGGAAAATTCACCTCCAAACTCAGAAAATCCTCACATGAGACATCTCAATGATGAACCCAACGTTCTCCAATATTATGTCACAAAATTACTTTATCCAATGACGTCGAAACTACCAGATCCTTAGTGGAAGATATCCAAGATATCCGTAACGACCCAAATGTGATTATGTCCGATAGTGATAAAAAAGAACTAAACTTTCTCCTTGTAAAAGCCATTAATCAACTGCGTATGCAGGAAAACGAGATGGCCAATGCAAAAATTAACGAATTATAAACCTCTAATGAAAAGCTCGCTAAACAATTTGAAGAGATTAAAAACTTCTGCGACATACTTCAATCCACTACTGGTTTCAAAACACAAAGAAAACGAAAATTGCGCCATAGACAAACGGATTCTGACTCCGATGAGGAACCTTCCCTCAAAACCAACAATCGATATAAACAATTATTGAACCAAATAGACGACATGCATTTGGACAACGAAGATGAATCAGCCACTCAGCTCTCTACCACCCCTGTTGGTTTTTCCGTTAAATCCTATGTGATATATCTGACTTCGAATCTAAAATTTTCTGAAGAACACAAAAACCTTGTCTAAAACTTAAAGGTTTATTCAACTGCAACTTTAAAAATGATGAAAACTTAACATCTTAAACGGAAACTTAACATCTTAGGTGAAAACATTCAGAATGCTTTAAAGTAACAGCTATGCCGGCAGCGTATTTCCAAACCCTACCCCACTTTTCGAATTTTTGACGTCACGGAAATATCGACTAGTTTCACCTGGCAAAACGGCGTACCCCAATTTTGACTACTACGGCGCGCTTTCGAAAGAATTGTGGTGCCGAATAGTGTGTTTAGGTGGTAATTGTGAGATTTTCGCAATTTAAATTATTATGAGTGGAAATTTACGCAAAATCTTTAGTGAATGGTTATTGTTTATCGCCGTAGTGTATTTGAGGAAAGAGGAGAATAATTCACTGCTGATGTATACATTAACAGTATGAAAAATTTGGAAGGTGATACTCGGCAATAAATGTGATGCATTCATCGCAAAATTCAGCGACGCCAGTAAAACAAACGAGAGTGTTCGAAAAACTTTATCCACATCTGAAGTCACTATAAAAAAATTGTATGTGTGCCAATACAGCAATTTTAATAATAAAAAATAAACACTTGCAGAAAACTTCAGATCAAGGAATAAGAATTGCAGTGCCTCTATGTGCTTAAAAACTACGAAGCATTCTGCAGACTTTCGTGCCAAAATCAAGGTTGACAAATAGATTAATACATTTTATGTTTCTTTTAGTGTATATATTTCAAAAGTTATTAAAATAACTTGAACAGTTGTTTAAGTTGCTTAAAAACAGCAATAAAGTTCATTTATAAAGATATACAAGGAACTTCATAATTATCAAAATTTCATTTCTTTGGTGAAAAGCTGAAATTTACTAAATTAACCTAACTTTTATAACATTAAATATCTTCATAACTGTAGTTATTATGCTCTGTTTTTTAAAAAAGCTTAAATACTTTATTTGTTATACTTTAAAATATTTTCTGATTTTTTACTAAATGTGTAATCAATTATCAGGATTACTAAATGTGTTAAGAATTTCCATACATGCTTGTGCAGTGTGAATGCATGTTTGTGTAATGAACTTTGATTTTCATGAACGAAAAATAAATACAATCTCCGAATAAGTACTTTTCGTTTTCCAGTTCCTGTGTTTAGCTGTAAAAGTAAATTCACTTCAAGTATGTGTCTGTGTAATTTTGACGATGTAAATGCTGAAATGATTGTATAGTAAAAACTCGACAAAAAAAATATCCGGAAAGCTCTTGAAATTTTGGATAGCCGAGCATGTAAAAAATGAAATACTTGTAATAAGTGAATGGAAGAATAAGCTACTAGTCTAAAATCATAAAAACAGTTCATCTTATTTGTATCAACTTGACTATTTAATATTATGCACGATTTTGAAAAAAAAATGTATGCTGCTGATCTTTGGAATATGATAACGGGTGATTTTTACAATGGTTGTTATGTGTATTAAGACTGCAAGTTGAGACTTTAAATATGAACAATAGTAATCTGAAAATTTGTAAGTAGTAATTTATATCCAACAATCTCTGCCAAATAACTTCCATATTTTAAGTAATTAAAAATATATTTTTAACCACTTGTTATTAATTTTATAAAGTACATTCTATAATTTAAATTTTATTTACTTTCATCTATTTTAATGTTTGCCATTATAAATTTTATACTACTTTTTTGAAGATTTCATAGTTGCTAATTAAACTTCCTTTACAATTTATTTAGGTTATTTTATACATTACATTTATATTTTATGTAAGAAAGGGATTTATGTGCAAAGATATACAGTGAAAGTCATTTAACACAAAACTGAGGGGACTGAAATATTTTTTCGTGTTAAAGAATATTAATATATATATATATATATAATATATATGGTCAACAAAATTAAGCTTATTAGAGTACATTTTATTTACATAGATATGTGTATATGCATGTATTTAATAAAAATCAATGAAACAAAAACATCCACAAGAACTTGATAGAATTTAATACAAAATTTTCAAGTTTTTTGAAAAACAAAACATTTATTAAATTTTGGGAAAATAATCTGATATTTTTCTTTGCATTGTCTTTTTTTAGCATCAAATTGTTCAATGTCAAACATTTTGTTATTCATTTCACCATTGGAATGTGCGTCTGAATAACTGTCCATACTTTTTATGATGTTCCTCATTTCGGATGACGTGGGAACAGGAACTGCATTATTCATTTTATTTTCGTCATCAGAATCTGCATCAATGATATTTTTTTAGCTTTGAACAAACTCCAACTTTGTCCGCCATAATTGGGGCTGTACACACATTATCATAAATTACTGCAACGAATTCTTCCGATAGTACAGTACAACAGTTCATTAATACAGAAACTTTCTCAAACATTTTATTAAGTGTCAGCTCAGTTTCACTATCCTGCTTCTCTATTTTTTTTGGCGCCAAAGAATCTGATACTTTTGAGAATTGTGTGTAATGAAAATAATTTCCATTCATGCTTGGAGTTGCTGAATTCCATGCAGTGCAACATATGAGCCAAACTCACTAATTTTTACTCGCACTGCCATGTACTCGTCACCGAATTCCAAAGCTAACTGATGAGAGATGAGATTTTTGTGTGGCGTTTGTAGAGGTGGAAGGCGAAAGTAGCGTAGATAAACAAAACTGGCTCGTGTCGCAGGCTAGTCCGAGGATATTTCAAAGCCAAATTAGCCACTTTTCTACGAAATATGTGAAACCACCTCTCTTTTATTTCACATCCCGCTTAAATCTCACCTGCGGTGCCAGTGTTTTCTGTATTTTGTTCATTTCCAGAAAGGATATCTTTTCGTTTTAAGAGAAACAAAATGCATGAAAATACATAGTAGTTTGTCAGGACCGTTACATTATTTCATGTTAACCGATATTTCGCGTTAAACGTATTCCACCATATACAGATGCGTTTGGACTATATATGTACAAATAATTTTTTAAAAGGAAAATTTATAATCCTTCCAAAATTTTTCGTGCATTATGCTGTCAAAAAATTGTTCAGTAAATATATAAAGAAAGAAATTTAGAACCAATTTTTCAGAAAGAATAAAAATTGAAATTCAAATTAACTTGATAAAATCCTGTAAATGTCGAATATCAAATATTTAGACTAGTAAAATTTTTTTAAATTGTAAGATAATTTTAATGATTTTACTCGCCCCCCCCCCCCCATTTTTCTTTGCTACTGCTGTTTGATAAGAGGTTCTAGTAAAGTTTTGAGTTAAGATTATTTTGAAATTTCAAAGATTTTCTATTGCAGGATTTTAATTTTTTCTACATTTTTAAAGGCATGTTTCCATTCTTTTTTAAGATTCTTTTTAGATTAGAAAAATATTTTTAAATTGGAAGATATTTTTAATGATTTTCCTTCGCTTTGAGGACTAGAATTTTCGGGTGAACTATTAAGATAAAAAAATATATTGAAATGGTTTATCAACTGATTCTGGATACAGAAAAGCAAGGATTTTGTTTTACAAGGGGAAATGTAATTACCGTATTTGACGGCATATAAGACGCATTTTTTTCCCTAAATTTGGTCTAAAAAAAGTTACTTGTGTCTTATACGTGAAGGACACAGGTTAAC